GACAAATCAAATCTGTTTTAAAATATTACTTTTTTCTTTCCTGTCTGAACCAAGAATTGTCACATTAACATTCTCTGAATAAGCTGGAGAGTTTATCAATGAACTACTAATAATAAGAGCAACAATAAAACCACATACCAGTTATAAACATTTCTGTTGGAGTGAGATGCAACTGTTCATCTTCACATACATTCAAGATAGTGATCAAAATGACAGGACTGCAGGCACTGGCAACATACCCAGGGAGAGTCTACATCATATATATTATATACACATGTATGTATGCATATATGTATACGTGCATGTGCATATATATGGAGGCGCGCGCGTGTGTGCGTGTGTGTTTTTCCCCCTTTGATTTTTCAGAAAGAGCTAAGGTATTTGAAAGCTCAAATTCCACAAAACATGTGCTTCCACGTTTACAGAATCAAAGCCTCAGATTAGGAATCATATAAGTCACTTGGTTTTTTATGAGCCTCAATTCCTTTACGTGCAAGATGGAGATAGTACTTGCCTATCCCAGGATTCAAAGATTGCTTATAATGTGGTCTGCAGATGTCAGACGTGCAGGGGTATGAATAATTGTTTTAAAACATGGAGGGAAACACAAGCATGCAGCTGCCCTTATGTACATCCTCACTGAGTACACTAATGCTCTGCATCTATATAATGAGGTGCTTGGGTAAAAGATGTTGTATTTCTATACCCGGAACACTTTCAAGAATTGAGAGTGTGACAAACTCATTCTTAAAAACAAACTTAATTTTTTATGATGCTCCAGTATGTCTCTGCCTGGGATTACATCAATGTTACCATTAAAGAATAAATATTTCCAGCAACCAAATCAAACACTGCATCTCAGAAGGAGAGGAGAAAGATTCCTTTAGAGAATTCATTGCTCACAGTCCACACCAGGCACATGTCACAGTATACAATCAAGATCCTAGAATGCACTAAATTGATTTGAAACAATGCCATCTGATGACTACAAAAACTGTCTGCCAACATTAGCAGATGTCTAGGCCAAAGTGATGTCCATAGAAAGACAAATACACTCAACATGCTTCAGAACGTATCTCCCCTTACCTTACCATGCACCAAAATTGTGTCCAATTCTACAATACACACAGCTACAGTTTCCAGTGTACCGCCTCCATATGACTGAAGTGTAAGGGTCCAATACAAATACACTCTGAATTTGTTTTTAATACATTAATTAAACCAGTGTAAAATTAATTCATTTACAAGTTAATTTTTTTTTACTGTGACCATGACATTGTAATAGTTTTTTTCTGAATACGTATGTATGTGCTCGAACTAATGCAATCATAATCGTTAATATATACTACTGCCTGGGAGCCACACAGTACCAAGGATCTGACAAATTTTCTACCAGAAAATCCATTACTATCAGAATATAATTAGGTTCCTGAGGCTAAAATTTGGCTTGTAGAACAAGCCAAGATTTGAATCCATAGGAAGGAGTCTTTTATTTTTGGATTCACTGTTTCTCAGAAAAGTTGTTTTGAAAATGTTTGGGATGGATCAGGTGCGTAAGCTATGGTGTCCAACAGCTGCATAATTCATCCCTTCCCCAGGATGCAGTCTGCAGATCTAATTGAGTAGCATAAATTCCCCAAAACATCTATATTGTCATTATCTTCCAGCTACCAAATTGTTCTCACGGTACTTTAGGAAACTATCAAGAAAGAGGAAAGATGCATGAGTAGGAAAGCTGGCCAACTTTGTAGGTATAAAAGAAACCAACAGGATTCTGCAATACATAAAAGGTCAGAGAAAACCAAAAGAGCACTTCATTAAACAATCAGGGAAAAGGACAGATAAAACCTAATGTAGAAGAAACTGATGTACTCACCTCTTCTTACTTTGACATGCACAAAAATAAACAAAGAGAGCAAATAATCAGTTTTAAACAAGGGAACAGGACTGCGGTACAGGGAAAGAAGAAAGTGTCTAAAGAAGTTAGAAGCTCAGAAAGGTAGAAGTCAGTACATAAAACGGTCCTTGATGTACTCAGGACACTAGCCAAAGAAATCACAGAACACTGTTATCTTTGAGCGGCTCTAGAGGGAGGGTCTCAGGCCACTGGAGAAGAGTAAACATAATAACTTTTTTCATAAATGAGAGACCAGTCATCCTAACTGCAATCTTGGGGATGAAAATGGAACAAGCTATTAAACAGCCAGTCATTGAGCATCTAGAAGGCAGTACAACAATCAAAAGCAGATAACCTGAATTTGTCAAGAGCAAATGCTATCACGTACCATTTCCTTTTCCGACAAGGTAAACGATCCATCTGAGTAACGGAGAAGCCATAGATGTGATATACTTGGTTTTGATAAGGCTTTTAATCTAATTTACCCGACATTCTGACAAGAAAAGTAGGGAATCATGGCCTAAATTAAACAGCAGTTAGAAATACTGTAAGAAGGAGTAATTAGGAATCCTTCTCTTGAAAAATGGGAGCCCATTTGAAGTGGGGTCCACAAAGATCAGTCTTGGACCTGGCATTTTTTTGTATTTTCACTATAGCACTGAAAATGAAATAGAGAACGTGCACTTCCAGAATCTGGGCTGATATCAAGGTGGGAGATGGTGCAAATAGTTTGTAAAACAGAAGTAGAATTCGAAACGATCTTGATTAACCGAGAAATGATGTGAAATTCACTCAAGACTAAGTACTGCAATGACGATCAAGAAATCAAATTCAAATACAAATTGGAGGAAAACTGGCCAAAAAAAAAAAAAAATCAGAAAAAAAAAAAGCTGAGTTACAGTGGATTGCAGTTACGTAGGAGAGCCCAATGAGGTACAACTGGAAGAACAAAGAATGGCAAATTTGGCACTAGGAGGTACTAAGATACAAGAGAAAAGTATTTTGCTCTGTCCAGCAGCAGTGAAACCTCAGTTGGTACATAATGTCCAGTTTAAATACCGTATTTCAGGAAAACTGCAGACAAAGTGGAAAAAGTAAAAAAAAAAGACCTTTGAAAACACATGATCAGTAGGAAAATACTGAGAGGACAACAACTGTTTAGTGTAGAATTACATAAAAAGAAGGAAGGATGAAGTGATAATCTTCAAGTTTTTCCGCATACAAAAGACAAATGGAGTACCTTCATACCCACCAAGGGTAGAACAAGTAATCACTGGCTTCATTTGCAGCAAGGAATGTATTAGGGGGAAAAAAAAAATCAGTGAACTATAAAAACCATTAAGTAATAGACTGCTGTCTCGAGATCATGCAGCTCCTGTCACTAGAGGCTTTTCAGAACAAATCAAACGAATTTGCCATTATAAGTTTCTAGAAGTCTAGAGGTTGCAGTAAGATTCAACATCACTTTAATGAGTGAGTTAGCTTTATTTAATGACCTCACAAATAAAGGGAGGTTGAAAACACATCATAGGTATAGTGACAATCAACTGGAACAAAGCATAGGTTTTACCTAGAAGACATTGGTGTGAACTCACGAAGCACAACTTTTGCTGACATGAATAAATTCAAACTAGATTTAAATCTAATTTAAGTTTAAATATTTAAAATTCTGCCTGGATTGAACAAAAGACCTTTTAGCCCCTGCATCTGAAAATGAGCAGTGGCACTCACACTCCTACTTAAGGAACAAACGCTGACCTCGCGTACCTGTTCTGAAAGTAACTGCAACAAAGCTTCCACCCAGCCTGGAGGAGCTGAGAGCAATCTGAGCTGCTTGAAGCAGATATCTAAAGCTGAGCACGCTAGCATACATCAGCCAGTCTCTTACATGTATCTTGTATATAGGCCCGAGGGCAAAACGTGATCCAAAGTTTCTTACCAGCGTCGTAAAGCACCTGTACTGCGTTCCACCTTAGGCAAAGGGGATTCAGTCATTTTTTTCACCAGGGCAAGCTGAGTTTTCATTAGTGCCCTGCAACATCCTGTCATCTTCCCTGCATTATTAAGCCCAAAATCCAGGTAAGGATAACAAGAGCATCGCACTCGAAGCCTATTTCCTTTTCAAAAGCGGTCGGTTGCCCTCCCACTAGAGCGCTCACGAGTTCCGGAACTAGACGGAGCCCCACTTAACTTTAGCCGCCAATTTCACCTAAAAACCTGTTACCAGCTCAGGGGAGCTCAGACGCACACAGAGGCTTTCCAGCTGGGTAACAGCGCGACACCAAAGCACCTTAAAATCACCCGCTTCCCGCACCTCGCGAGCTCCCGCAGCGGCGCCAGCCGACGGCGGG